TACATCTCCCACACACACACACACACACACACACACACACACACACACACTGGATAAATGTGTAAGAAGAGCTGTGTGACAGCAGTCAAATGAATGGTAACCACCCCTGCTTGCTTGAATGTGCATGACAATTTATGACAGTTTTATTTTTATTATTACAGTAAAATCAGAATGCCAAACAAGGCAAATCTTCTCTTTTAATCTCTTCAGACAAGCAGCTTTGCTTATTTCCTGCTGGTTCTGTCATGACAAAGTACAGAGTCACCTTCCACAACCTTTCTTCACTTCCATACAATCTACTGTGATATGATTAAATATATTGCTGTCAATGTAAGACTATTTTATTTATGTTTCTGTTTTTAACATTCCTATAAGCACACCTTTATCGAGTGTTGTGGTGTGAATGAAAAGCAAACACTGCAGGCATATGAGTGATCATACAGACAGCACATTCTTATATACTGTACCTGACATCAGCTAGAATTAACTTTTTCTATCATGTTGTGTTCAGTTATATGACGTTTGTTCTGTGTAGTATTGTTGCATTGCTGTACAGTTTTGGTTTGTGTTCCTGGTTGTACGCTCTTGTTTCCTGTGTTTAGTTCTTGTTTGCTGGTTTGTTTCTATGGTTCCAGATGACTTTCACCTGTTTCTCATTTAGTTCTTCATTATGCTGTGTATTTAAACCCTCTTCAGTTTTCATTCATTGTTGGTTGTTGTCTTTATAGTGAATGCAGAGCTGCTGCGTTAGTTCTTCTGTCATGATCTGGATTGTAATAATGCTGATTTAAAATCAGTCTTGTGGCTGTAGATCCTCATCTCAACTCTCAACCTTGATAACTGTAATTTGTGCAAATATATATTACATAATTAAAATCAATTTTACGTACTAAAGTAGTGCACCAAACAATTTTTTTTTTACAACAGAAGCAGTTTTATCTGTTATCAGAAACATGAAAGCTGTGTAGCTGTGAGCTGATAATTACGGGATTACTGAGTTGTATACAAAACATTTCACATTAGATATTAAACACATCAGATCACACAGATGCACAGTTTTTAAGAATATCAGGCTACATATGTTATAGAAATAAATACTCTGACATCGCATGACATGCTATTCATCTAAATGTAGATGTTTAACGAGTCCACAAAAACAATTTATTTTTATTTTTGTTTTTGTACTTCTCTTTCAGTCTAACAGTAAGAGCGAGTGATTTCCTTTGGCAATCATTTGTCCCTTTCGACACCAAATTCCCATTTTATTTATATATTAGCTTTTTATAAACTCACAATCCCCTGCAGTTCCCTCGCCAGCCACCAGGGGTGTGTGAAAGTCAGTGTGGGGAACATGATCTAGTACATCATGAAAACACTGGCAAAAGCAAAGACAAAGTACAGACACTACTGTGATCAGATGTCACACATGGCTCATTTGTATGAATGTCAGAAAACTCACTGGTGTGAGCAGATTGGGATTTAGTTCTGATTAAATCAGAGTCTAGTCAGTGTAATGGACAGGTAAGAGTCCCAGTGACATTATTATGAGCCGTCAGAGGAGTGTGATCTAACAAATTAAACACACCTATAGACAAACATTCATAACCAGACATGCACTGTCTGTCTGTTTGTGCTGATGCTGTGGTTTCTGGCACATTTAATAGTGAGTTTGCTGAGATTACGAGCAGTCCTGAGTCACGTCTGTTTCTCCAGAAACACAGCTCAGTGCCTTCAGTCTTGAGTTACGAGCACATCCATGAAGAGATGCTGGAGAACTCTGATCTTCAGTTCTGATGGATAATGTGTGAGGAATGTGGTGCAGGTCTGTGCAGGTTCAACCAAACAAACACACACACGACAGAGAACACACAGCTCAAGAGTCGAACACAGACTGCTGTTTTTATCAACCAAACATCTGTTGATAGTGAGTGAAAACATTAAGCTGATGTCATAGTTTTGGATGTTCAGATCATTTCTTCTGTCTTGGTTTGATGTTCAGAGCCATTTGTAGTTTGTAACTCTGTATGAGGGTTACGATCAGCCCAGCACTGTCACACTAGCTGTGTTTCCATCCACATATTTTTATGTAAATTTTGGGATATGCTTAAAAGAATGCTGTAAACACCTAGATGAACATCACATTTTGAAATGTGCATAATCATGCACTCAGCTGAGGTGTATGATTTTTTTTATTCACAAAATAATACAGCATTATTGTTGTATTCAACAAAAAGAAACATACGCATAAACTACGACGGAAACATTCACCAGATAAATTCTGATGCTTAACAAAAGACTCAACAGTTGATATGATTGGATTACTAGACTAACCAGCAAATAAATCTCATCGCACACCATCTCAAATGCTGTATTTAATTAATAATTCTGACATGCCTGAGCTAGAGTCTGTCATTGAAATGATTTGGGGTAATTACACATGATTGTGTTCAGACATCGGCATCCAAACACAAGAAAACACGACAGCGGTTGTTTTTTTCCTTTCTTCATTTATTATGTGTGTGGGGGGGGGGGTCACAGTCTTTACCGGATGCAGCAACTTTTTATTAATAATGATAATTTGCACCATTTACCAGTAAGTGATGATTTTGTTCTCTTGAACACAAGGAATGGAAATAGTGCTTTATTTGCAAATGTTTTATGTGATATTCCAATTTTTCACACAAGTTTAATTTGCATCTTTGAATTGAATCATAGCTAACAACTCAACCAATGATTTGAGTTTGGGGCGGAGCTATCAGTGTGACGGACCAATGGCAAACTGGGAGCATGTTCAGGAAACCAGTGACACTTCAGCTTTAAGCCAAGAGTTATTACTGAATAATGTTTTTTTTTCAATAACATCAGTGCAGAAAATTTATCTATCAAGACATTTTTATTGAATATCGACAAAGAAACACATTGATAGAGCTGATATAGTGGTTTAATACCCCATGAGAAGTTTTGGTAATAAAACAATTCATAAATCAAGGAAGCCAAAGCTGCTTGGCACATCACTAGCAGACGGATGCTGTAGTGTTCATGAGCTGTTTGTGACTGCATTCACACGCGGTCGGTTCCCGGTCGTCCTGCCGCACGAGGAGGCGGGTAGGATTTCCCGGCGGGTTTACACGCACAGTTACAGCAGAGCATGATCCCACCGATGAGGGTCAGAGCCGAAGCGCCCCAGCCCACGTACAGAGCCTTCCCGAACTCATATCTGTGCACACGACCAGCATCAGCTCACAACATCCACCTCACCACAGCATTCAACCTCACAACATGAGAGGAGCTTCATTCACCAATCTTCAAGACATCGCTACATCAATAACAGTTTTCACAATTTTTGGATGGATACCATCAATAAATCAGTATTGCTTAATAATACTTCAGTAAATTCATATTTACATATGTATTATTGAACAATTAAGAATCCATATGTTAGATGTATAGATTTATAAAGCCTCACAGGTTACAGCACACATGATACATTTACTACATTCAGTGTTTTACTAGAGTAAACTCCTGACACTCACCTTGCATTTGTAGGAGTAAATGGATCAAAGAACGTCTTCCTTATGTTTTCTCCATACCAGCTGGTGGCAACAAGAGCACAAATCCTTGTAGAAATAAGAAGAGATCTGACATGAACATGCTGCACGGGAACAGATTTTAATAGTTTAATTATTTTGTTTACCAGACTTCATTAAAGTGATAATTCGCCCAAAAAAATGACAATTCTGTCATCACTTACTCAAGTTCAAAACTTCTGTCGAATACAAATGTAGATCTTTTGAGGAGTGTTGGTAATCAAACAATTGCTGGCCTGACATTTAAAAGAGTTTGTGTTATGTTGAAGTTTATATTGTGCTGAAGGCCGGAGTGTGTGGTTGGGCTGTGAGCAGATTTGTGAATTTGAGTTTTAATTCAGCATTAGCTGTGCTGAAGTCAGTGCAGTGATACGTAACTTCTTACTTGTTCATTGCAAACACCTGCTATTTTAAACAAATAATAACAAACAAGACTTCATATTACCCACTTTTTATAAGTAATTCTAAGTAAATAATTAGTTGTGTAATGCATTGAAAAATGACTTGCATTATTTCTTTTAGTGTGTCATATCCGTTTTATCTTTACTCAACACATCTGATGAAATCCACCCACACAAACCGAGTGCTAATGGTTGCCTCAGATTTACTGAGTAGATTCTACAGAGAGTGAAAAGCAACATATCTGCGATGATGAAGAGAACACCTCCAGCCACAGCCACTTTGTTCTTCTGTTCTTTTTCGTCAGACAGGCAGGTGGTGCACTTCATGCCGACGGCAGCGACCAGCAGTCCGACGCCGCACAGGAAGATGGAGGTGATCATGAAACCGCGAGACGCCTGAACCTCTCCTGAGACAGACACACATAACATAACATAAGCAACATAACATAACATAACATAACATAAGCAACATAACATAACATAAGCAACATAACATGACATAACATAAGCAACATAACATAACATAACATAACATAACATAAGCAACATAACATAACATAACATAACATAAGCAACATAACATAACGTAACGTAACGTAACGTAACGTAACGCAACGTAACATAACATAACATAACATAACATACATAACATAACATAACATAACATAACATAGCATAGCATAGCATAGCATAGCATAGCATAACATAACATAATATAACATAACATAGCATAGCATAGCATAACATAACATAACATAACATAATATAACATAACATAACATGTAACTGGGACTAGTTGTGGCCTAAGGGTTAGAGAGTTGGACATGAAACCCAAAGGTCATGGGTTCGAGTCTCAGTACTGCCAGGAATTGTAGGTGTAGGTGGGAGTGAACGAACAGCACTCTCTTCCACCCTCAATAACCATGACAGAGGTACCCTTGAGCAAGGCATCAGGTGTGAGTGTGTGAGTGTGTGTGTGTGTGTGTGTGTGTGAGTGTACTCTGATAACTGATATAACCTGATTTATATAGTTTAATATTTTAAGCTGTACATGTCAATGATGCCAATAAACATATTGTTTGACTCTGAGAAGTGCGTAAATATGTTCTATTTCAGTGTCTGAGGGATGGAAACATCTTTTTTGTATTCATTTTGTTACACAAATACAATTCCGTCTTAACTTTTAACTCTTACATCCTGAGGTTTTTCAGTAATCGTATTAAACATCTGCTTAAGAATTTGTGCTATTCGCCTGACTTGTCTGGACAAGAAGCGGGTCACACACACACACACACACACTGATCGCGCTCCTACCTGGCAGCTGCAGTAAGGAGTCATAGACTTTGCACTGCATCTGTCCGGTGCTCTGATACACACAGGAGCGCCAGAGCCCCTCATACATGGCCTGCGCGGTGATGATGTTGTCTCCGGCGTATGAGGACATCTTCCACTCGGCCATGGCCGTGGATGCGACGAGTCCCAGGAGACCCAGAAAAGCCAAAGTGTAGCCGAGGAGCTGCAGCCCTGCGTTGGCCATTGCTGGAGTGAAGTGTGGAGTTACAGCTGCTGGAGTGAGTGAGATGCGCTGAGAGCTGCTCGTGGTGCGCCTGACACATGAATGAAACTCCTCCAGCATCATCCTCCTCCTCCTCCTCCTCCTCCTCCTCACCGGCGCTGAAGCTCCACCTGAAGATCCTCACGCACCTCCTACCGCCTCCGAGCACTTTCACACTTTCACACAACATACACTCAGAGTTCTAAGCTTGTAGCAATAGTGTAACTTATTCTTCTTCAGACCGTGGAAATAAAAAAAAATAACAACACGCATATTAATGAATAATTATGTAATAATCAAATAAAATGAAATGCTATATAATATGCTATATAAGAAAATTATGAACTGTCTGCCTGTCCTGTTACGGCCATAAAGGCTGTTACTAGCCTCTCTGTGCTCTTCGTTGCAGTCCTGTCTGATCTGCCAGCAGGGTCATCTACCTTGTCAGCTCTGCAGAAGTGGTCTTCAGCTCCGTCAGCTCCACCTTTGGTCCCGTTGGCCTTACTGTGGTGGTCGTCTGCTTCGCTGTGGGGATCTTTGGCTCTGTTTGCTCTGCTGTGGTGGTCTTCAGCTCCGCCCTGGTCACTTGCTCTGCCACAGTCTCCAGGCCCTCCTCCACTCCACAGGCCTGGCCCACCATCCCTCCCCCAGTTCCACCTCCTCTCCTCTCTGTGCCCTGTTCTGGCCTTCCTGCCTGTTTTCCCCCTCGGGGTACTTTTTGTTAGTTTTGTTTATTTTTACTATTAATAAAGAGCCCATTTCCTACATCTTTGAGTCCTCGCCTCATCTCTCCACCCCATCCGTGACAATTAAAATACCTGGAGGTGAGGAATAAAACAAAAAATGTCATATTCACTCAGTATTACTTGATCTAATTCACAACTATCTAAATTACAAGTACAAATTATTTGTATTCAGTTGTGTTTTTTGGCACTAAAACAGTCCAGTACTTTATTAATAGTCAAACACATTTTTATACTGAAATAATAAAGATTTCTGTGCCAAGCCAGACTGGTTGCTGGCACCTTCCTGGCCAACCCTATGAAAACGTCCTGGCTCCACCACTGACAATAACCCAGCTAACTGAACAAACGCTCTTCCACTACTGTTAATAGAATGTTACACATCATAAATTAATTCAATAATTAATTCAAAGTTATTTGGTGCTTACTAATGTTCTCAAAACTTTAGCACAAAAACATTATAGGCTACATCGTTCATGGTAGTTGAATGTTTATCTAACGTTTTTAAATGTTACTAATTGTTTCAGAAAGTTTAGTGTAAATGGAACTTAATAAGAAAGTTAACAAAATGTTTCTAGAACACATTCTGTTGGCTGGGAAGGTCTCATTACTTAACATCAGTTAATGCATTAACATTAACAAACAATGAGAAATGCATTTGTTGCAGTATTTATTCATCTTTGTTAATGTTAGTAAACAAATGTTCATGCTTAGTTCATATTCATTAAATAATATTAACATTAAATAATATTAACCGATACAACTTTTTGTTGTTTAATGATTTTAACAATGTATTAATAAATGTTGAAATGAAGGAATCAATAACTGAGCTTAAAGAATAAATGCATTAGAATTATTTTGATTACACTTTAATTTAAGGTGTCCTTGTTACAGTGTAATTATACATTTAAGTACTACGTAATATACATTAACTACATGTACTTACTATATGGTTAGGGTTAGGATTAGGGTTTGGCTTTGGGTTACTTGCATAGGTATATTTATGCATAATGTATTGCTATTATAATAGTAAGTACATGTAACATGTGTGTCACGTCCCTGGACTGTCTGTGTGTGTTTTTGCTCCCCATGTGCTCTCCGTGACCTAGTTTCTCCCTCATGTTAATTGTTTATTGCTCCCAGGTGTGTCTCGTCAGCCCCTCGTCAAGTCAGGTGTATATAAAGAGTGTCCTGTTCTGTTTCCTCGTCCGGTATTGTACGTCTACCCCTCGTGCTATGTGTGTGTTCCTGCCTGTTCCTTGTGTTCCTTCCTGTGGATCATTAAAGACAGTGTATTGCCAATCTCCTTCGTCTCCGACACAGTAGGCAAACTGTGACAATGTCTAACAAGGACACCTTAATATAAAGTGTTACCATTATTTTTTATTGTTAGTTCATGTTAATTAATGTTGTTAAAAGAGAAAAAAAATCATGTCATTGCACTGTTTGGAAAAAATAATTAATAACTAATGTTTACAAGTGGAACCTTATTGGGACTGATAGATGTCAGTGTGAATGCAGGGTAAGCACTGTACACATGATAAAAGGCTTGTCAACTTGATTTTGTTTTGTTATTATACTTTCATAAACGAATAGAAGTCAGGTGTGGAAATGTGATGTGGTTGTGTCAGTGCATTATGTTTGATATCAGATGGATTTCATAACTCTGAACACTGTGCTCCATAGAAAAACATACATCTCTCCTGTTGCTCAGCTGTCTTTATGAGTCAAAGTCTTATGGATTAGGTCCAGTAAAACCTTCTATCCTGTAGTTATCACTACACAATCATCAGATTTGGGAGAATTAATTAATTGTTCAATTAATATTGAACTAAATGGATAATTATTTGTCCAAAATGAATGTATGCATTCATTGTTTTACAGCAGTTCGAGGCGGCAGAACATTAAACCGTGACTGGAGTCACAGGTAGACCCGAGCAATGACTGTCAGTTCACTCAGACAGAGTTTATCTGAAAACCACCGACCTCAAAGTGGAATTTTTTTTTTTTTTTATTGGAGCTGCATGTGCAAAATAGAGCAGTAGGTAATGTCTGTTTTCACATATAATATTGCATATTTGCTGTGTGTTAAGTAATTATTTATTTTATTTTATTTTTATTGTTAACTAATTCCTTAACATTAGTTAGGTATCATGTGCAATGAACAACATTATTTTACAAGTCTTATTAATATAGGTTCAAGTCAGTTCATATGTATGCTATTGTTAATTCATTGCATTTATACTTGAATATTGAATTGTATGTTAAAATTTATTAGTTTATGTAGAAATTAACAACAGTAGTTCAGCTGGTTAAGCATGTAATCACTGCTGCTAATAATGTCAAAGTCAGGGGTTTGATGTCTGAGGAAACGCACATGTGGACAAAACCTGCTGTAAGTCACTTTGGATAAAAGTGTCTGCTGATACAGATGCATTATAAAGTGTTAGCGAAATCTTTAATTTTCTTTCAATCATCAAGACCTAATGTACATTTGATGACATCAAACATGTTTTCTACTCATCGAAACCTCACTGTATTGAATGCCTTAATGTGCTTGTGTAAATGCGGACAAGATCTATATGATGATAGTACGATTTGTTGCTCGCTACGAGAAGTCAAAGGCACGGCATCCATTCAGTGCAAAGTCACTAAATGCACCAGCGTGACGTTTGAGGCTCTTTTTGAATTTGCGGATGGAAATAAACATGAGAGTTTCATAAGTGAGTGGTCAGCACCTGTGGGATGCTCCAACGGGACCGTTTAGTGCTTTTATTTAACAGCACATACTGTACAGAACCCTTAGTCAGTTTCTGCTTTAGTTGTACAAATATTTGGAGGGAATTTTTCTTCATAACATGATAATTCACAATCAGAAAAATTGTGCACCTTTAGGGCAGGGTGGTCCAGTCCTGCTCTTGGAGGGCCAATGTCCTACAGAGTTTAGCTCCAACCTGCCCCAACACCCTCGCCCAGACATTTCTAGTAATCCAAAGACCTTGATTAGCTGGTTCAGGTGTGTTTAAATGGGATTGGAGCTCAACTCTGCAGGACACCGGCCCTCCGGGAGCAGGATTTGACACTCCAGCTTTAGGGGTTGTCACTGGTTCTGGACTCGCAAAGGGACACCTTTGTACCTTATTTAAGCCTAGAAGTGTATACCCTAGAGCAGTGCTTCTCAGACCTGTCCTGACGACCCCCACCACTGCACATTTTGTATGCCTCCCTCATAGGACACACCCAATTCAAGTCTTGCATTCTCTGCTAATGAGCTGGTGAGCTGAATAATGTGTGTTAGATGAGGGAGACATACAAAATGTGCAGTTCTTGGGAGGTCGCCAGGACAGGTTTGAGAAGTACTGCTAGTAATATGTATATAAACCTTTTAGGGCTAAATACAGGACAAAGTTGTCCCTATAATGGTACTGCCCTAGTGACAAGCTGTTGTACCCCTAATGGTAAAGAACCCTTGATGAGCTTCTGCTTTAGTTTGCTTGGGCTGTATTTTTCTTCACATGATGTCATAATACACTCTCAGAAAAAATTTTACAAAACATTGAGGCAGAAAACTTAAAGGGACAACTTTGTACCTTATCCACTGCTAAAAGGTGCACATCCCGAAAATGAAAATTTGCTGAAAATGTCCTCAGATCATCCGAGATTAGGATGAGTTTGTGTCTTCATCAGATTCTGAGAAATGTAGCACTGCATCAGTGTCTCAGCAATGCATGCTCTGCAGTGAATGGGTGCCGTCAGAACGAGAGTCCAAACAGCTGATAAAAACATCACAATAATCCACAAGTAATCCACAGCACTCCAGTCCATCAGTTAACATCTGGAGAAGACAAAAGCTGAAACAAATCCAGCATTAAGATGTTTTTAACTAAAATAGTTCATAATTTCCATAAAGTCCATAATCCATAATAACGCTTCCTCCAGTGAAAAAGGTGCATCTCCTGTTGTCTCTCACATCAAAATCCAGCCACATATTTGTTTTAGACTGTTTTGGCTTGTAAACGCTGCTTGATCTGTCACCGATGGGGTTCTGGTTCCTCTGGCTTGCTCAGTTGGGGACGCTTGACTGATTGCACAGACACTATTGAAGAGAGCCGAACTGGATGATGACATCACTGAATCACCAATGAACTGACTTTATCTGGAAAATGACTCTTTGTTTTTGTACTCTTGCATTATAGACAAATTATTTTCCTGTTGACACTATAAAGCTGCTTTGACACAATCAGTATTGTATAAAGCGCTATATAAATAAAGGTGACATGATCTGTGCAGATTTCTCTCCTGATTCAGACCAGACCAGTATTTCACTGGAGTAAGCGTTTTTATGGATTATGGACTCGTATTTTAGTTAAAAACATCTTAATAATGTATTTGTCTCTTATAAACTTGCAGCTTTTGTCTTCTCCAGATGTTAACTGATTTGATCTGTCACCGATGGGGTTCTGGTTCCTCTGGCTTGCTCAGTTGGGGACGCTTGACTGATTGCACAGACACTATTGAAGAGAGCCGAACTGGATGATGACATCACTGAATCACCAATGAACTGACTTTATCTGGAAAATGACTCTTTGTTTTTGTACTCTTGCATTATAGACAAATTATTTTCCTGTTGACACTATAAAGCTGCTTTGACACAATCAGTATTGTATAAAGCGCTATATAAATAAAGGTGACATGATCTGTGCAGATTTCTCTCCTGATTCAGACCAGACCAGTTTTTCACTGGAGTAAGCGTTTTTATGGATTATGGACTCGTATTTTAGTTAAAAACATCTTAATAATGTATTTGTTTCTTATAAACTTGCAGCTTTTGTCTTCTCCAGATGTTAACTGATGGACTGGAGTGCTGTGGATTACTTGTGGATTATTGTGATGTTTTTATCAGCTGTTTGGACTCTCATTCTGACGGCACCCATTCACTGCAGAGCATCCATTGCTGAGACACTGATACAATGCTACATTTCTACAAACCTGATGAAGAAACAAACTCATTCTAATCTTGGATGGCCTGAGGGTGAGTATAGGCACAAAGTTGTCCCTTTAATAGTTCTGCCCCGACATACTGTCCCAGAATGCTTTGATGTAGAGCTGATTGTGTTCAGCTGCCGTATGTTAATAACTAAGCCATGCGTAGGCCAGAGTCATCACAGTGGAGAAGCGTGCCGGATGAATCAATGAGAGATAAGAGAGGTGGATGAATTTGTCCTGTGGTGGACAAAGTACAGTCATGAGACACAGCACAGTGTTTCAACAAGCCGCATGATTCATATGAAATATCCAGTAAACGTGCCAGTGTTCAGAGGACGACACTGCACATCCCTGACATGTGCTTGCAGTTACATTCATACCACTGTTTCATAAAGCAGTAAATAATACTGTGCCACTGAAATTGCTCGTGTGTTATATCAGGTCTCTGGAGCAATGAAGCGTGTTTTTAAACTTGTCTTAATATCAGGGCAGCTACATCTGCTCGCTGCAGTACCGTCAGCTCACTGTAGGTGGTGTATCACGCACAGAAACAGGACAGGCCATTCAAAACCGGCCTTCATCAGGAGTAATTACACATTTGACAGTGCTGGAACAGGACATTCGAGCAGTAGATGCACATAAAGCACCGCAGCACAGCAGATCTCCACTCATGTGCTGCTCTCTGCTGTCGGGAACCGCAGTCAGTCATTAACCAGCTATCAGAGATTACCACACACAAAGCCATGTTATGTAATGCAGCATTCCTGTGCCTTCAGAAGACCAATGAACGGCTGTCTTCAAGAGTCTGGCCAGAGGTCATGTGACTAACAGGGTTCGGTTACACAGACGACAATGAATAAACTGTGAACACTAGTTACAGTGAGCCAGAGGTGATTGTGTTGCTCAGATGCTGCTCTTTAGTAAACTAGGAAGAGTTAATGCTTGAAGAAATAACAACAGAGACAGATGAGCCAATAGATGACATCCTGATAGCATCTACACTGCAAAGAATTGCTTTCATACTGAGTATTTTTGTCTTGTTTTACAGTACTAATATCCAATTCTTAAAACAAGATACATTTAGCCATCAAAATTGGATTTATACTTAAAACAAGTAAAAATATCTGTCAATGTATCAAAATATCTGTCAATCTAATTTAAAGGGAAAACAAGTTTTTTTAACCACATGGGCATTTGTTTTTTTCAACAAAACACTTACTTTAAAAACGTAATTTTGATTAAAAAAAATTCAGAAAATAAGAATAAATAATATTTTAAGTAATTCTGCTTCTCGTAAATGTGTATTGATAGTATTGTTGAGACATTTATACTGGAAAACAACAAAAATACAGAGTAAGAACATTTTTGCAGTGTACAGTGCTATACAATGACTCTCATGATCTAAAATCTGAATCTGAGCACAGTTTGAGACATTGTTATAGATATTTAAGAGATATCTTGTGATTTTCTTTTCTGTAGGGATGAAAATGTGTACAGTTTTGAAGTTATAATTATATAAAAATAAAGAAAATAAACTAATAGGGTTACTAAACGTTTATTACTTTTTGTTAAAATCTGCAAAAAAAAAAAAATAAATAATAATAATTTAAAAACTAAAATTGAAAGTTTTTTTTAATGTTTGATTTTATTAGTACTTTTTGTTTTTGTTTTAAACTTCACAAGTTTGTATTTTGGTATATGTAACTTTATTAGTATTTTATGTTTGCTTTTAGTTAAAGTTTTAAATATTTTGATATGTTTAATTTTGTTAGAAGCCTACTTTTTGTTTTCTTGTAGTTTTAAGTCCGTTTTAATGTGTTGCTGAAGTGATGACAGTTTTTATGGCATTGCTCCTTATGAATGTATTCTGATCACAGTGTATTGATGGCTCAGTGTGCTGTTTGTCTTGAATATCTCATTCAGTTGATCAGTTCTGTCAGTGTGTGCGTGTAGGCATCTGCTGCTATTGTTGCTGTCCCTTCCCCCATCCCTCGTGTGTGTGTGTGAGTGTGTGTGTGTGTGTGTGAGAGTGTGTGTGTGTGTGTGTGAGAGAGTGTGTGTGTGTGTGTGTGAGAGAGTGTGTGTGTGTGTGTGTGAGAGAGTGTGTGTGTGTGTGTGTGAGAGAGTGTGTGTGTGTGTGTGTGAGAGAGTGTGTGTGTGTGTGTGTGAGAGAGTGTGTGTGTGTGTGTGTGAGAGAGTGTGTGTGTGTGTGTGTGAGAGAGTGTGTGTGTGTGTGTGTGAGAGAGTGTGTGTGTGTGTGTGTGAGAGAGTGTGTGTGTGTGTGTGTGAGAGAGTGTGTGTGTGTGTGTGTGAGAGAGTGTGTGTGTGTGTGTGTGTGTGAGAGTGTGTGTGTGTGTGTGCTGCCAGAGAATGGAGGTGAAGGGGGAGAGGAGAGGAGAGCAGGGGGAGGATCCAGCGCTGCGGCCGTCTTTCTTTTCACTAACTCTGGAGTTGAGTTTAGAAAAGCCTGAAATGACTGAGAAAGCAATGAGCTGCGAGCAGCAGTGATCCTGGACTAAAGTCTGAATCCTCAGCACAGACGGCTTCTTTCCTGCAGTCTGCAGCAGATTTACAGCTAAACTATGACAAGGTGAAGAGAGTTTCCCTCTTGTCTCACGCTTACAGGAGCTGCTAACTCTCCACTAAACAAGGTAAGCTCAGCTCTGTCTGTGTGTGTTCATGAATCAGTCTTCACACTGCATTCAGTGCTTTTGTGGATTCAGATGACAGCTGTATGTAGTGCCTCAGATCTGTGTGCGTGTGTGTGTGTGTGTGTGATTGCACTAACTGAATCAGACAGCACTGTGTGTTGTAGGGTATCAGACCGAATCAGACAATCTAAGATTTAGTCAAAAACACAGTTGAAACACGAGGAGCCGAATTCCACAGAGGCCCAAGACACAGGATGTTCGTAAATCAGATCCTGGCGCCACAAGCCTGAACCAGCTCACAGCATTTAAACAAAAGAACACTTATTGACAATTCCAAGGAGATTGTCAATTTTGGGGGCAAGTAATCAAGATTAATGGTCAAAAGAGATGCACAGCGTGACCATCACATGGAAACCAGTGATAGCAATCACGAGCTCTTTGGATTGGCTTCCCCCACCTCGACGACAGAGAACAGACTGAAATTCCTTATGAGAGACCTCTTAACCTCTGGTCTTCATACATTCACATACATTCACAGAATGGCACAGAAACTGCCTTTCCATGCACCAAAATGAACTAAAAGGACTTGTGAGCAACTAATCATTTCTATGCATAACTCCATATTATGTATGTAACCCACGTGTGTGTCTATCAGGTATTAATCATTTATTATTTATGTATTTTGAATAACTATTGAATAGTTTATAGGATCATATTCATATTTAGTATATGTGTGTTTGAATCTTCTTGCTGGAAACGTTTCTTCCAATCAATTCTTTGTCAAATGTATCATATTCGTTATAGAAATCATGTCCAAAATTATACTCTGCAAGAGCGGGAAAAACTCGGACCATGTG